CAACCATCATAGGCGTATTGAAAATACCACACACAAAAGTCGACGGTGGTCAGCAATCACCTGTTTTTACATTTTATATTAACTTGTGACGTCATTTGGAAGAGCTCAATAGAAACATAAAAGAACTAAAGCTTGTTTGGAAACCAATTTGACATTCGTGACGTCAGCACTCCGGCAGTCTAACGTATAGCTAATTGCCATTCGCAAATATATTCCAGATACGTATAGTGATATTGTATTAGTATTTTGATATTTCATTTTTAACGTGATGGCTTTTTATAAAAGTGAAGAATTTAGTAAGAAAAATATTAATGATGGAGATGAACGTGTACGGATTCATGAATGGTCACGATCATGGTCACGACACTATAGAAATGTGAGGTATGTATGTATATATATACATAGAATTAATGGCATTAATTTGCAATAGCACCTCGAATCCACAGTTTCATTATGGAGCCAGATTAAACCAATCAGAATGAGTATTATGTTACCGTAAAAGCCCGAATATTGGTAAAACGTAGGGTTACCTTAAAAGGTCACTTTAGGTTAAGTTTAGATTAGGCCTATATTTTTATTAATGCAAAACCAACTAAAACCTAATTCTAATCTAACCTTAACTCACTCTCTTTTTTGCATATTTCGAGCTATTATCTGGGTATTTCTAAGTTTAACCAATATTCGAACTTACGGTGTAAATTTATGGACTGTCCATAAATTTAAATTCGCCGCACAAAAAATAAGTAATAGATACTGTAGATCAAAATAAATTAAAATATAGTTCCAGGATAACTTAGTTGGCAGCTTCTTTTCATCATACCTAGTTAAAAACCCGTCACTACCACTACTCATAGTATGTATACCTATGTATTTTTAAACATCATTATGAGATTTAAGTCATAGGTGCCCATAATATGAGTAGCGGTATTGACGGTTTTTTGTTATGATGAAAATGTTGTGTGATATGAAAAAGCAACAAAATATATTATCGATTGCAGCAACTATACCTAGTTTACATTCAGTATGTCCAATTAATATAGAACATTATAGCTATGCATGATTTTAAAAATTTGCTACCATTATATTTTCATAGTTGAGTTTTTGAAATTATTTGTTAGCTTCTTAAACAAAACAGACCCATAATAATTCAAATCTTTATCATCCAAAACTTCCAAGAATTATAAAGTAATCTCAATTTTTTAAAATTATTGCATGCCTTAAATGTTTGCAGAGTTAACAAAAATATGTCTTTGATTACCTGCAATTAATATATTTGGTCCAATTTATCAGTTCTGCATCATATCCGAAATTCAGATTGTGTGTGACACAACGAAGAGTCAACGTGCAACGTGAACGACAAGAAAATGGCAAGCAAAAAAAAATGTAAAGTCTTAATTACTAATTACACAGTCGTTCTCTTGAGTTCTCCTGCCTAAAATCTATATTGCCTTCCCGAAGATTTTAAATATAAATGATTGAAACTCATACAAGTTTACCACAATTCAAACTTAAGATAATTATTTAATTATTAAATCCATAATTATATTAAAATATAACACTTACGAAGTTACTAAATATTAACTATTTCTACTTAATCATTTAATAATTGTGATAAAAACACGCTTGATTATTTATTTTAGAAATCATACGGGCTATAATCATTAATATGACTTTATTAACAATACTTAAATCAAAATTTATTTGAAGGAATGCTACTGTATTACAATAATTGTAAAACAAGTATGTAATAATAACTCGGAATAATTATTAAAAACTGCTCATCTTGTTATAGATGTCGACGTCTTTTCTCTATTATTTTATTAGCCGTTTAGCTATAGTTTGATTTCAGATAATGCAGATTTTAATGTGCCATTTGTGTTTTGTTATTGGAATTATTATTTTTAGCATATTTGGTATACTCTATGAAGTTATTTTTAAGTGCTTCTGTCCATTTTTCAATTATTAAAGTGCCTTGAGATACAATTAAAATTAATTAATTGGTGTATAGTATTCGTATTATGGGTTTGTTTATTTTTTATGAAATGATTTTTTTTCCTATTAAAATAAACATAGCTTACTAAATCACTAGCTAGCCATTTTTAAATACAGGATGTTAATTAAGTATTTGGCCAAACTTTAGGAGGTGATTCTTTGAGTGTTTTTAAGGTAAAAAGTTCATATAAACATTTGTCCGGAAATGGATAATTTTAAAGATACAGGGGTGTCAAGGTATTTTCTAATAGACCTTTTTTATTAATATCTCAAAGATCCGTTAACCGATTTTGTTGAAATTTCGCCGTGTTGTGAAATTTAATAAGTTAGCACTAATTAAATGATAATTATTATTTACAACAATATTTAAACGATAAAAACTTATCCCAATAAATATTTGGCACCGTCTTGAATTCATTTGTTTTACGTTATTTTTTATTTTAAAAAGTTTGGCGTAGAATTTTGAACATCCTGTATGATTTACGATTACCATATTTATATAGCAAAGTAAGAACAGATCATCTAAAGTAAATACCTAATATAGTTTTGATTGATAGAACAATTCTTGTATTTTTAATAATTTTTTTAAGAAGGGCTGAAAAATATATATTTTTGATTTATTTATTATCTTTGAAACTAACGAAATATATATAAGTGATCTGGAAGGAAGCCAAAAATGCAATAATATGGGTGTTCTATTAAAAAAAATCATCCAGATCCATTCATACTTTTTTGAGCCACCCTATAGAAGTTAAAATATTTTCCTGAAATACATCCTGGTAGATACTTTAGGTATGCACTTAAACAAATTTCTCAAGTTTTTTTATTCTAGGAGCTACACTACCCGAAGCACTATTGCAGGACCCTGTATAATATACGCATTTGCCAAATGCATCACCCGGTATTACTTTAGTAATAATGATTAACTTTTCTAATGCGAAGCATTGCCATTCTTTTTTTGCTTTAAAATTGAACGAGAAACCTTGTCACGAATACTAATGCCATAATTTAAGAGGCCATGAAAGGCACTTTATTAACAGCTCCTCCTCTATTAAACTGTTACTCGGGCATTTACTGCAAACAGTCAACCGCACATTCCGACTTTATTGCGAATTCTTCAAGTATCATTTATGGATAATGAAAAGAGGCACGGAGAAGAGAAGCCCTCTTTTACCATTTACGGCATTACGGTTTTGTCTTTTGGGGCGCATCTCTATATCTTCTTCCCCATCTCTCCCTTTCTTTCTTCTGTCTCTGTCTTGCGCGTTTCGTCGCTTTCAAAATCATCCACTTAATAACCTGTTGAGTGGGAGGGATTTTGCGGTTTTTAAGTGACAAATTGATGGAGTAAACGTATCGTTTCGGTTGGAGTGGTGGTTTGTTTGCGAAAGGGGCGGATCGAAACCTTTGACGAATCATTTCCGAAAATGTGATTGTAATTTTAGCATACACTCCAGGTGAAAAAAATCCGCCAAACCAAATTTTTTGTCATTTTTTATGTTTTATAACTGTTTTATTATTAGTGTTCCGTAACTCAAAAAGAAAAAAGAAACTGTATGTGCAACTTCTTACTAACAGCTATGAAATTGAAGGATTTGAAGGATATGTATTTTTTTATGAATGCTTTTTATAAACCTCAAAAAAATTGGAGTTAATTTAATATAAAACCGTATACTATCCTAGCTTCATAATATTATAATGTTTTTTTCTTAATTTTTATTAAAAAACTAATTAATAATAATTCTATCACTCGGCCGGATAGCCTGGCAGATGTGACAATTAAACAAAATACTACTATAGTAAATGCCACGAATGTTTGGGAGTGATTCATCGGTCGCTACCATGTGAACTAATCTGTTCAAGGTCACATAAAACTTAATTCCAGTGCCGTAGTGTTTCAAGTCATATAATAATCAATATATAATCTGTTGTAATTTGTTGTTTTAACTGTCAAAGTCTTGTCAAAACATATATTTGGTTATAAATATAAAATGGAATGCCCCATTGGTCGCCCTGCAAGCACACCAATGGACTGACGCACAAAAACGAATCAATCAAAGAAACGCGATATAGTATCGTCTTTGTCAATCACGCTAACATTTTAGAATAAGTAGGAGGAGCGCAGGCAGATGATTAGACCGGACCTTTAAAAACCTACGTCTGCGGTAAAAATTTACGTTTTTAATGTAAAAATGATAGCGAGCGTGTCGATTCTAACTTCATCAAGCGATGAATCACTCCCAAACATTCGTGGCGTTTACTTTACATCTATATCTCCGACTACTAGGTACTAACTGTTACTAACCAACAATTTGTTTTGTCTGGTCTGTGGTCTGTTTTTGTTTAGATATTTGGTTCATTATTCATGTTGGAGATTTATCTTTAAATTAATGTTAATGGTTAGGCAAATTCATAGAATATGTATTTCTTTTGCATAATCAAAATGATCACTCTAAATTTTACATAACCAAATTATCACTCTAAATCGCTGTCTTTTTTAGACAGATGTCACTTGCCTTGTCATTATTCAATTCATTATTCGAATTCTCAGAATGTTGTTAACAAAAGTTTTATCTTGAAATAAAATTTGAGTCAATCACAATTGTTTATCTCCATCAGTTACCGGATTAATAATACAGAAACTACAGTTCGATTACAGACATTCATTACTTATAGTAATTTACAGTAATTTTACTAAATTAAAGGAATATTCTCGTCGATTATTGGTTTGAAATAAATATAACAGTGTCCTCCAATAAAAATGCGAGTTACTAACTCTAAATTCTAATTCTGAGCTGGCAAATAAGCTAGATACTTTACCTAGACCGTTATTCAGAAGCTACGAGCCTATCGATGAAAATATGCATGAAATCAAGGCTTACAATATACAAAATTAATTTTCTACGTCTGGACGTGTCTGTCTATCTGAGTAAAAAATGTAAAAAATTAGTTGGTGTAGAAAATATAAAATTTTCTATCTACCCAGCCCTGCTGTCAACTGAACCTACCTGGACTGGCTGGTTCTGCAGCGCCCGGTGGTGTTTTTCTCTGATGCAAGAACGTCGTTTGACCTGCGCCCAATTCCAAGGGAGCGTTAGGTTCTGGAGGGGTTAGAGGGGGCAAAGGACCCTCGGTCAATGCCGGGGCTGGCGTGGGGAAAATTATACCCAATTCTCTGGCTTCGTTCTCTTCCTGTGCTTGCTGACGTCTGAGAGCTACCTGGGCGGCCATAACTCTTTGCCGTTCGGCAATAAGGGTGCATTTGGCGCAGTTGCAATCCCTCCAACGGCAGTACCTGGAATAAAAAAAATACAGCTTCGATCTACATGTATTTTTTAGGACCCTCTGTGAAGCTACTTAAAAACATTTTGAAAATACGAAAAAAAAATTTTGATATACAGGGTCGTCCGAATATTTTGCAGATAAAAATAAGGAAAAAAGTTCGTATAAATTTATGTCCTGCATCCTTTCGGAGATACAGAGTAGGTATAGAAGTTTCATTTTTATTTCGATTTTTTTCAAATAATTTCTGAATTAATGTCAATATTTGGATGAAGATTGGTATCTAGACGTTCTTTGACACAAAAAAATTGATTTCTATGTCAATATGGCTCCTACTTGTAAGGCATGTAGTACTATCTAAATGATTTTTAAATGTTTTGAAGAATAATAACTTTTCGTTCGTACCTGTATTACACTACTGAGTGAAAAAATATACATTTACGCCATTTTTTACGTAAAAAAGGACTCTTAGTAAAAAATCGCTACCAGGAACCGTTCTCAACATATTTGGAATGGAAATAATCAATATGACTAAAATTATAGATTTGAGAACTTTTTATTTTTTTTTAATTACTCATAATTTTTTCTAGAAAAAAAAATATGATCAAACCGTTTCTGTTGCACCTTTGCCACAAAAATAAAAATTAAATATACCATATGATCGAAAAAAAAAGACGTCAGCGATAGCTAGGAAATGAAGATCGCTGTCATTTTATATGTAAAATTATATGGAGACGGATAACATCGATGTTCATATCCAAGCCAACTGGACGCCGTTTTTTTTTCTCATACGGTATTTATGACAAATCATATTATGTCAACTATTGACATTTTTGCTTTAAAAAATAGTATTTTAATTTTCTCGAAATATCGAGTATATGATACCAAATTATTCGTAAAAAAATTATCCTTACAAATATATCGACGAGCAAGCCTGGTTCCATTTTCAAAAATTGAGTTAAGATTACAAATACTATACAGGGTAAGGTATAAATAAGTGCAAATATTTTCAGGGGTGGTAGATCTCAATAAAAGAAACATTTTTTTTTATTTCGTTTAAAAATTAAAAAAAAATGATTTTTTTTTGGAAAAATTTTGAGAGCCACCGGATTTTTTCTGTATTTTCATCCCTTTTATTACCGTAACCGTAGAGTAAAGCCGTAACTATGGTAATATCAGAGATTAAGAAATTATACCGTGGGAAAATTTGCGGTGAACAGGCAGTTCTAAAAAGTTTTCGAAAAATATACAGAGAAATTTAAAAGAAAATGCACGATTTTCAACATCTTTTTTTAGCGAAAAAACCTCATAGACGTGTTCCTGGGGTCGAAATATGCCACCCTTGAAAATATTTGCATTTATTTAAGACTCACCCTGTATAGGCATCTATTAACCGGCCTGAAACAGACACGAAAAACATTTTACGATCAAATATGTTTTCCAAGGCTTCTTAATTAAAAATTAGTGATATTAGCAGTCATGGCGCTCTAGAATTAAATTTAAATAATATATAATAATACTATTTTTTTTAATTAAAAATGTCAAAAGTTGGCCTATGATATATCATTCTAACCAGAATGACATTTTCTATCAAATAAAGAAAAAAAATACAGCTGGTATACCATTTAAAAATGAAAAGTGGTAGTAATTTCCGGTAAAACAAAAAGTGACCGAAAGTATAATGACGTATTTAGTCAATCAATGTCATACACTAACATACCAAATCTCGTTTTTTTTTATCTGAAAAAATAAAAAGTTCTAGAAGTGAGACATTTTTGAAAGACACCCGGTATACAATAAGATGTACAGAAACAGAAAGATGATATTTCTTGAAAATATTTAATTTAATATTTATCAGATTATTCCGTGAAAGCTTCTTTTAATATCCATACCCCGCGGAAGAAACCCTTCGTTCGAAAAGCAATTAAAGTAAAATTTTACTGCTCAACTTTTCCAAAGAGTCTGCAGATTATATCTTCACCGGGAGAGAAGAAAAAAAGCAGGGATAACTCCAATTAAGAGAAGCTATTTGTGATTTTTAATGGATTTTTGGCCGCGCAGTATAATTTGTATAATTTGCAAATATAATATCGATGAAAAATCACCACAAAACAGTGGCGGCTCGTGCTAGATGTAGATATAGATTGTATGGGAGGGGCAAAGTTAGTAATCGCAAAACAATTTCCGACGCACGTGATCAACTTTGATTGACAAGCGATGGCAAGAGCGCTGCCAAATTGTGATGGATTTATGAGATAAATCTTAGTCTTTTTTTTGATTTTATGGAAAGCACTGTTCAATAAAATGTTGTATCCTATGTTATAGGGCCTATTTCTCTCTACAATTTCCTGTCTCACAATGTACCGTTTGTGTCGGGGAAGGGATCATAGTTTCATAGTTGTCGATTTTCGAAAGAAATCAGTACATGTATATTATTTCGTATATTTTTCATTTTATTGATTTTATGGAAAGCACTGTTCATTAAAATGTTGTATTCTATGTTATAGGGCTCGTTTCTCTCTACAATTTTCTGTCTCACAATGTACCGTTTGTGTCGGGGAAGGGATCATAGTTTCATAGTTGTCGATTTTCGAAAGAAATCAGTACATGTATATTATTTCGAATATTTTTAATTTTATTGATTTTATGGAAAACACTGTTCATTAAAATGTTGTATCCTATGTTATAGGGCTTGTTTCTCTCTACAATTTCCTATCTCACAATGTACCGTTTGTGTCTGGGATGGGATCATAGTTTCATAGTTGTCGATTTTCGAAAGAAATCAGTACATGTATATTATTTCGAATATTTTTAATTTTACTGATTTTATGGAAAACATTGTTCATTAAAACGTTGTATCCTATGTTATAGGGCTTGTTTCACTCTACAATTTTCTGTCTCACAATGTACCGTTTGTGTCGGGGAAGGGATCATAGTTTCATAGTTGTCGATTTTCGAAAGAAATCAGTACATGTATATTATTTCGAATATTTTTAATTTTATTGATTTTATGGAAAACACTGTTCATTATAATGTTGTATCCTATGTTATAGGGCTTGTTTCTCTCTACAATTTCCTGTCTCACAATGTACCCTTTGTGTCGGGGAAGGGATCATAGTTTCATAGTTGTCGATTTTCGAAAGAAATCAGTACATGTATATTATTTTGGAATATTTTTAATTTTATTGATTTTATGGAAAGCCCTGTTCATTAAAATGTTGTATCGTATGTTATAGGGCTTGTTCCTCTCTACAATTTCCTGTCTTACAATGTACCGTTTGTGTCCGAGAAGGGTTCATAGTTTCATAGTTGTCGATTTTCGAAAGAAATCAGTACATGTATATTATTTCGTATATTTTTCATTTTATTGATTTTATGGAAAGCACTGTTTATTAAAATGTTGTATCCTATGTTATAGGGCTTGTTTCTCTCTACAATTTCCTATCTCACAATGTACCGTTTGTGTCGGGGAAGGGATCATAGTTTCATAGTTATCGATTTTCGAAAGAAATCAGTACATGTATATTATTTCGAATATTTTTAATTTTATTGATTTTATGGAAAACACTGTTCATTAAAATGTTGTATCCTATGTTATAGGGCTTGTTTCTCTCTACAATTTCCTGTCTCACAATGTACCGTTTCTGTCTGGGATGGGATCATAGTTTCATAGTTGTCGATTTTCATAAGAAATCAGTACATGTATATTATTTCGAATATTTCTAATTTTATTGATTTTATGGAAAGCACTGTTCATTAAAATGTTGTATCCTATGTTATAGGGGTTGTTTCTCTCTACAATTTCCTGTCTCACAATGTACCGTTTGTGTCGGGGAAGGGATCATAGTTTCATAGATGTCGATTTTCGAAAGAAATCAGTACATGTATATTATTTCGTATATTTTTCATTTTATTCATTGTATGGAAATTCACTGTTCATATTTATTATAACATTTCTTAAAGAGTTTTTACGTTTTATTTTTAATTTAATAACTAATATTTTAGTAATTATTAATTGATTTATAGCTTATTTTACTTATTACATATTGGCAAAAACTAGTCCATTATGAAGATTGTTCTAAGTATTATTATGGGTTATTTATTTATTTATTTATTGATGTACACCTTATAACGCCATAAGTGGTAATAAGAAGTAAGAAGGTGCTATTAATGCACAAACTAATAATCACAGAATTTAATAAAAACTAACTTTGAAAGTGGTATAATATGCTTATCAATCAAACTTACTTCTCTGACTGCAGTCAAGGATAATAACGGACCTTTATTGTCACATTTTCGTGCAAATTGTTTATCAGGGAAGCTACAAGCTCTTTGCTTCGACTGTTTAAAGGCTTCGACGTATTTTCAACACACAATTTCAAGAAATACGTTACAAAAACTCGAAAATTTAATTCTTAAAAGAACTGTTTGCATGTGCTTAAAAGTGCAATTTTTAAAAAGAGACTACAAAAATTAGTAAAAAAACGAGACTTGCTCACAAAGATTCAACAACAACACGATATTATACAAAATTATGACTGACATTAGGATAATTGTCAAATAATAAAGGACAACATTGCTGAACACGGCGCAATGTGACCAACATAGCGATAATAAAATTCGGTTTAAACTAATTTTTGCAGCTTTAAACTACATAAAATATCTATTACAATCATTTGCTCTATAAAGTAAAATGACGAGCTGTTCGGTATCTAAAATTTAACAACAAATTTAAACATTTTTGCCAAAATTTCATTCAGTCAGGTTTATAGACTTTATTATATAATTAATTATATTTTTATTACCCTGTACTGTTCGGGGCGCTCTCGGGGGTCGGCTAAGCGGGTATGTGACCGAAGAAAAAATATATTATATTTCAGAAATCTGCCTAAGGTTTAGCCCTATCCTGTCCACACCCAAAATTCCAAAAACACGTGCTTTGATTAAGGCTTGATTAAGGTTTGCACGGCTTCAGCCTTTACCATAAAATAGCGAGTAATTTGTTACAAAACC